GTTTTCTTCAGCATAGCATGGAATATCATCTGACAGACACAGTGGCTTCATAGATAAATAAGCCAGCTAAAAGTGTATCTGCAAAAAAGGTAAAATATAGCCTCCAAAAAGAACAATTCCATGAATTCTCTTGTTTGACATGGAGACATAACTCAAGCACGCCTCCACAAAAAGCATAGTGTCTTAAAAGTAATGCCATCTCACAGCCTTCCTTAAAGCCGCTTAACTGCAAGATTATTCACACTAATTATAGAAAATTAAAAACACAAATTAAATTAAAGCTGATCTCCACCCAAACCTGACTTAGGCAAAGAGATTATTTACTTCGATCTACTACATGACTTACAGACCGAAGGGCAACATGGCTGAAAAGGTAAGCCATTTATTTTTGTGAGGTGCAGACTACCGTCAAGGTTTTGTAGCCAGTATGTGCCTTCATCTAATGCCTTGTGCATTTGCAAAGATTTCATATTGTTGGCAGAATGTCTCCTAGGCAGCATGCTTTTAGTTGATGGCAGCATTCCTCCTCTTGGAACAAAGGTTGCAGCATTTTTTTTATGATTCTTCCCTTTGTTTTCTTTGGCATACATGTTTGCTTTGTTCTTTGCTGCCCCTTTGCTACTAGAGGCTGCATCTTGCTTCCTTGTGAAAACAAAAGGGAGATTTGGATTGGAACTTGGAAGTTCAGTAATAAACTCACCAAGGCTAATTGTTTTGCTGCTGACATTAAGCTCCTTAGCTGCCTTTGAGTTATTTGACTTAAAAGGAACACACTTGGCAGAAATCTTTGGAGACACGATTGCATTGACTAAATTTTGATTTGCCTCTTGAGAAGCTGCACTGTGTTTCTTCTTCTCCACCCAAATAAACTTTTGCCTCCCTGGCGGTTGTTGCCATTGCGAAGCATGCACCTCGGCAACATGTCTTCGACACTTTTTAAGTCTTTTCTTTTGAAGTCGCCTTCGAAGAGTCCTAGGATTTTGGGTAGGGAACTCTTGGCAGGCCACCAAGTTTATATGGCGACAATGTCTAAATTGACTTTGTTCATAGAGGCAGCATTTGCACATGCCTCCATGCTTTTCAACGAGATCATGCCCCCCGTGCCTCCACTCAGAGACATGGGTTTGTTGCTTTTGTTCCTTCATTGGTGTCCAACAGAGGTCTTTAGATTTCTTTCTCCTTCTTCGACTTGGCATATGTGATGGCATGATGTTTCTTATGCCGCCTCCCATGTTATCCTTGTGGCTGCAAGGAAAATCTGGGAATTTCTTGTGAAAGCCATTTTGGAAAGAATCATTATTTTTTGAATATGGCCTACGGTATGTTAGACAACATGGTGGCCTGCATGCCGCCTGAGTGGCCTTTGGCAATGAGTCTGCAAACTGCTGAGGTGGACTAAGCTTGCACACATGCTTTTGCTGTGGCGGCATTGATTGGATGCTTGAATTGGCATCAGGCTGCAATGGCACAAGCCTTGCTACCTCCTTTTCTACAGCTTTGTGAACTTCATTGGCAATAAGGTCTTGCAACCTTTGTTGTTCAATCTGACTAGGTTGCCCCCCGAGATTGGAAATGACTCCCCTTTTTAGACTAACGACTTTAAAAGGATATTTCACCTTTAGCCATTGTCCATAATTGAACTTGGAAGGGCTTCGACCACTAAGAAAGCATGGTCGCCGCGAACACTTCTTAAGCCAGGCTGAAGAAATATGCTCATTAGTCTCAAAAGAAGTAGAAATAGATGAGGTGGATACCTTATTAGATTTATGTCCTGATACTGGCCAAAGTGTTGGCTTTTGTGTAGCAGCATCAACTTGTTGTCGGCCATCAGATGGACCTTCATTGATCGATGGCTGACATGTCTGCACCTGAGTTGGTTTATGCCTCCCAAGAGCAAGAGGACTATTGCTAGTATTAGTCTTTGCAGACTTAGAATGACTTGGAGGCATACTTGTTGAAGTCGCCTCCAAAGCTGCATGGCGTTGCTGACTTTGGACAGCACGCTGCAATTGTGATTCATGCCCCCCGACTGTGATCATGGGGTTACTGTCTGACCTTTGTGTCGTCTGACCTTCATTTACAATTGGCATCTCTGTCACGTTTTGCGATTTGCAAAACTGTTTCAAAGTTCCTGGAGACGCCGCTGCATGGCACTTCTTTGAATCCTCCATTAAAACCTCACTTTTGGGTTGAGGGGTTTTAAGTTCTGAAAGATTTAATTTGCATCCTTTCCAATTTTCCTCCAAATTCCTCCTCCATTCATCATGAAACCTTTTAGATTTCTCAGCAATATCAGCTATCACTTCAGCAAGTGATTTGGAAGACTCACTGTCAGCTGTTGCCTTCTCGTCATAAAGTGGATTGGCATAAGAGGAAGCTTGTGGTGGAGTGATGAAGAGCTTCTGGCAATCATCAAAATAAGGACTTGCCATGGTGGCACAATCTAGTAATAGAGGATATGATCAACAAACTTGTGAAAGCCCACAGTGGGTCCCACCAGGCGTGCCAAAAAGAGATTGTTGTCTCCAAAATCTCCCTTTCTGGCTGCGTGGCAGATAAGACTGCGAAGGCGTGCCACTCACTTTGCTCAAAGTGAGAAAGAGGGATTCC